AAATAAGACTGGGTCATATATTCATTTTTACTCCAAAAGATGCATTAGGGCTTATTTTCTGGTTAGGTCTTATTTGGGGGGGGGGATACAGTACTATAGGCATCCATCTGGCTGACAATCTTGGGTTTATTTTGGGGGTAGGGATTATATTATGAGCATCCTGAAAAATCATGCTAGGATTTATTTTCCAATTGGGTCTTATTTTCAGAAAAACGGTACATTGCATTTGTTTAATTGTGACATTTCAAGCAGGATGCTTCCCTCCTTCTTAGGATCCTAGAAAATCCATTCCTGTAGCTCTTGTAAATTCAAGATAGATTAGAGCTTTTTGTCTTCTAAATTTCCACCGTGGATGCTTTTCTCCAATTTTTTTTTTGCTCTCGGGAGTCCGTACAACGCAATGATAAAATACATTCCTTCTCTTGAACGCTAGGGGGCAGCAACACCCCAGGAATTTTACGCCAAGAACTCCTGTTGGACGGAAGGGCTCATCTCGGCATCCAAAGCTGTTGGATGGGGAGCAACGCAGCTCGTGTAGGTATCCGGATGGCCTCTCAAGCTTTCTTCCTCTCCCTGTCTTATTTTTCCTCTGATGCAGCTTACCTGCTTGGAGAAAAATCATGCATTTTTCTTTCTTTGCATTAGAGAATCTGCGGATAAGGTCGTCTTGCACACCGGCAAATACGAGGAGCTGATCGTCTGTTCGCACGAAATTGCAGCGAGCACAGCTCAGCTCGTAGCCGCCTCCAAGGTAGAGGGCCCTCAAAGAGAAACAGCTGTAACCCCTGGATTTTTTTGTTTGTTTTGAAATTTTCTATTTTTTGGAAGGGATCCAAAACAGATATTATTCTCCCAAAGCATTTAAGGTAAAGGCAAAGGTTCCCCTCGCACATATGTGCTAGTCGTTCCCGACTCTAGGGGGCGGTGCTCATTTCCATTTCAAAGCCAGCGCTGTCCAAAGACGTCTCCGTGGTCATGTGGCTGGCATGACTCAACGCCAAAGGCGCACAGAACGCTGTTCCCTTCCCACCAAAGGGGGTCCCTATTTTTCTACTTGCATTTTTTACCTGCTTTCAAACTGCTAGGTTGGCAGATGCTGGGACAAGGAACGGTAGCTCACCCCGTTACACTGCACCAGGGATTTGAACTGCTGAACTGCCAACCTTTCGATCGACAAGCTCAGCGTCTTAGCCACTAAGCCACCGCGTCCCTCTTTAAGAGCATTTAAAGAGAGTTATTTATGGAAGAAAATTTATATGGCTGTCCAGTTCATTCTCAGTGACTCTGGAAGAAAATTTATATGGCTGTCCAGTTCATTCTCAGTGACTCTGAAGGGCTTACAAAGATAAAAAAAATAATATGAAACAATACAAAAACGATAACTCCCTATCTGCCTTGTGACAACGGTTAATCAAATAAGCCATTTGATGGGCTCTAGGCCATTTTGGGGTTCCATTGGCAAAAGCAGGACCTCCCGAAAGAGTCTCAAAATCTTATCTCTGCAGGGTTGATGTCCCAGAGGGAGGGAGCCACCACTGAGAAGGTCCTACTTGATGCCACTAGGTGGATCTCCTTAGGAGAGAAGGTCCCATAACATTCCTTGCCTCCTTGATCTGGTGGGTCAGGTAGATGTTAGCAGGAGAAGATGGTCCTTCAAATAAATTATTGAGGTTTTGGGGGGTTTTTTTGTTTTTTGTCTGGATGCCAGGTGAAAGCGGAGAAGCATAGCAGGAACCTCGGCAAACTCCAGGAATGTTCGCGTACGGTCAACGAGATGGCGGCTAACGTCATGGCGTCTACCAAATCCGGTCAAGAGCAGGTAGAAGAGAAAGGTGAGGCTTGGTGTGCTGGCCAAGCAGGAAACGAAAAGATAATTGAAATCCTTGCAGGCTTGGTCGACAATTTTGTAGAGCAAATGGCCTTGAACTTCTGAAAGAGATATTGTTGGAAGAGAAGCCGTGGTGAGGTTTTATTTAGACAAAGTTGGGAGTGAAGAATTGTGGAATATTTTAAGATTGGGAGAACAGGGCAAGCTTTCCGTTGCTGTTGTGTGGGAGAGAACATCTGGAGAAGTTTGGTCATGATCCCATCTGAAATGAACCTCTTTTTCTCTTCCGACCAGACACCATGGACTTCTCCGGGATGTCCTTGATCAAACTCAAGAAAGAGGAGATGGAGACACAGGTAGGTACCGCACGGATGTGGAATTTCTTAACGGAAGTGTTGGGATTTAATTTCATTTTTGAAGGAGGACAACCCTAGAAGGACGGTTTGGATAAGGCAGTGATGCCACAGCAGAGGTGGCTGTTGAGTTCTCTGAGTAGAGAAGAGGATGAGAACTTCTGAACGTAGCACCCTTTCCCGCAAAAGTGGTGGTCCAAGAAGACCTCCATCAAACTAATGTCTGATAACAAAACCCAGTTGCGGTTTCTTGTGTTAACACAAGATTAATGTGCACAATGATGATGGAGTTCTCTCTAAGATACAGGCGTCCAACCATGGCCAACTTTAAGACCTGTGGACTTCAATGCCCAGAATTCCCTGGCTGGGGAATTCTGGGCATTGAAGTCCACAGGTCTTAAAGTTCACCAAGGATGGACACTCCTAGTTTAGAGGAACAGGTGATGGACACCAGACCAAGAAGTTCCTGTCTTTTGCAGGTGAAGGTTCTGGAACTGGAAAAGACGTTGGAGAACGAGAGGCTGCGTCTCGGAGAGTTGAGGAGGCAACATTATGCCTTGGCTGGTCTTTACACGGAGAACACGGATGGAAAGAAGCCTACGATCGCTCGTAAGCCAGCATCCTTGAAGAGGCCCGCACAGAAACCAGGTCAAAGCAAGCCGGACTCCGAGGTGAGCACAGAGGGAAGGGCCCCTTGCCTCTACCCTTAGCATGGACAGAAGGGAAGGACTTTTTATCAGGCCACCCATGATTCTTGGCCTTTTCTCTCTGGAATTCGGCCCCCAATGACAGTTCTTTGCAAAAAAATGTGTGCACGTTAACTAAACTCAAATCAGACGATGCCAAGTAGTTCTCGCCTTACGACTGGTCATTTAGCAGCCGTTCAAAGTTACGACGGATCTGCCCCAAAAGCTACTTGACCCTGTTTCCAGGTTAGGACAGCTGCACACTGATACACAATCACAAGGTCGTATTTTGGATGCTTAGCAACTGGCATACATTTCTATCCATTTGCAGCGTCTCAGTTTCTGACGTTTTATTTCCAGCAATACAAAAAAGACCCATTAGGTCAAACAGATTCGCTTAACGACCGCCACAAAAATTCTGAAAATTCAGGGTCCGGTCACGTGATTTAAAGTCCGAATGACTTAGAACTGTTCATGCCAAACTCAATCAACCGTCGTAAGCCGAGGACTACCTTATGACTGCTTTAGGGGAGAAACAGCTATAAAGATATAGCTTTTCCCCTCCTTTTTTTTTTTTTTTTTTGGCTACCATTTTTTCCCCCCTTCTTTTTCAGCTGGCACAGGATGGCGTCTACCAAGCCCATGTAGTTAACTTCTAAGGCAACTCCAACCTGCAACGGAAGAAGAGTAGAAGCCAGGGCCAGGAAAATTGGGGTGGTCCAGGTTCTAATTCTGCCCACCCTTGAGGAATTCAAACCCTTGGATCTGCTGCTTTTTCGCCGGCACCCCAAAACATAGATTTTTGGTGGAGGATTAAGATGTCAGCGCCCTTCAAATCCATCTACAGCAGGAGACATTGAAATTCCAGCCCCTTTAAATGTCTGTGTTTTAAACAGATACAACTTCCAGCGCCTATTCGGAGCCCCCACCGTCTACGAGAAGGCAGACCCTTACGGGGAAAGGGAATTAAGAGCTCGCTGATAACTATTTATAAGCAATAGGAATCATTTGGGAAATATTTCGAGTAAATATTGGTGTATCTATTATTCTACAAAGATGTTTTTAAAAGAAATGTGAATTTTTGTGGCTACTGTCGTTGTCGGATGTCTAAATTGTCCTTCGTAGTGTTTTATGCCGAGATCTGACGCGTATAAAAAAAAAGGGGGAGGAGAAAATTACCTGGGGGTGGGAAATGAAATACCTTTTGGAGATTTTATAGGACTGAATTTATACAGAGGAGAAAATAAACACCTTCAGTAATTTTTCACAAAATCCCTTCAACCAGTGCTTTCCAAACCTGGGTGAAATTACCCCCAAATAAGGCAAAAATAGGAGGATTGTTGTTTTTTTTTACCCCTTTGGGTAACAAATACATCTTCCCTGTCACATCAGGGAGATTTAAATTGATTTAAAGCCTCCCAAAATATTCCTGCCAAGGTGAATATCAATGCAATGACCAATCGGTTGAAGTGACAAAAGATTGTTCCGTTTTATAACAACACAGGTTGTCCTCGAATCTACGGCCAATCTCTCAGCAACCGTTCAAAGTTACAATGGCGCTAAAGGAAGGGACGAGCTGGCATAAGATTTTCCAATAAGGAATTTATTTTTTATTTTTTTGGGTGGGTGGGTGTTGGTGGTGGTGGGGGTAATGAAGGAAAAAGGTTGGGAAGCACTGCCTTAAAACTCTCATTTAGGAAATCCGTGCAAAAAAAAGAAAAGAAAAAGCCAGCTCACTTATTTCAGCAGCTGAAATTTAAGAGGATTGGGTGGGTTTCTTTGCAAAGGAGAGAGATGCAAACAGGAACTGTTCTTAACCGAACTTTTACGATTAAGGAAAACATTTTCACTTATTAAAATGATTTAGCTGAAACTGGGTTGTGTCATTTTGTGTGTGTGTGTGTGTGCATTGGCTAGCGTTCCCTGGCCACAAAGGTTTTTTATTTATTAATTCAGTCTCCGATTTGAGTCCGCTGCCAGTGCTTACCTTTACTATTATCATTGTAATGGCTGAAATCAGATGGGTAGTTGGAGGAGTCAAATCTTGCCCGCAGACTTCCAGGATACGGCAAGAGTTCGAAAATAAGAAATGTTCTGGTTTCTGATTCAAAAAGAAAACCCAGCAACAAACGGTTTGTACAAAAATTTAGCATTCTTTTTTAATGAATAATCACTGCAACTCCAAAAAATTTATTTCTATAAAACAGCAAATTCTACAAGAAAAAGGAACAGCTGTCGGTCTCTTCCCTCGAGACCACAATCAAAGTTGTACAACGAAGTTGAACAGGTGTGATACATTAGGAGTCGCCCCAGAAAGCAAGGAAGTCTGTCGGCATCTTAGGCACATTTGAAGACGACGGGCATCACATGGTAGTTTAGGACTGGCTTGTTCCAGAATAACATGCTAAACCACTGGTTTGAGGCCCCAAAGCACTGGAAAACTGTCCCGCTGCAGGATTATCAAATTGCCTTAAATGACCTTTCTCTTCCGCCTCCTTTCCTAGGACAGAAATAACCTAATTCAGACTTAAAAACTGGCCTTACTTGCATACCTACCAAAAAAAAAAATAAACAGTAAACTGATCTGCAGATCTGCTGCTGGGCAGAATGAAAGCTAACCAGCAACATTTGCTAGAGGCTTTTCCACAATTCAAATGCTAATCAAGAAAAAAAACCCGGTCAGGCCAGTTTACTGTGACATTCCACACCGTCACAAATTTCCCTCTCTAGTTGCATACTTTTGTAGAGAGAGAGAAAGAAAAAAAAGGGCGATTAAGACCACGGTATAAAATTGCAGCTATTTTCCACAATTGCAGTTATTTTCCACCGTTTGGGGGGAAACATGGCTTCTTATGCTTCAAATGCGGTTGGCTATTATTTTTTATTTTATTTAAGGGCCGTTTTAAAAACGTGTCTCGTGTAAACAAAACTACTGCAAACCCTCTTTTATCAAAAGCGAGCGAGAAACGTTCCACCCTGAGCGCGAAGAGGAAATCGAAATCGTTCTGCATTTTAAGCTGTTGAAAACTCTTGCTTTCCGGAAGCAGCGTGCCTGATTCTGGGTGAAGAACAAATGTCTTTGAAGGTAGCTTAAGCCATCCTCAGGGTCCTGGAAGTGGCAAGGCTGAAGTACTACAGGGAAAGGTTATGACCCCACTGCTACTGACTTAATCGGTTCCCTAAACCGAACTGACCACTGGAGAAAATTCTGCTTGATTCTTCTGTCCATCGCACCTTGAGTACCTGCAAGAGGTGGCTAACCATTGGTGTAAACTTACGGAGCAAGAAATAGAGGTAGCATCCCATCTCTGCATCACTCCTACGTTAGTGAGTAGGGGATCTCAGCTGAGGTTTGGAGGTTTCCATTTTTTTTCCTCCAAAACTCGCAGATTCTGTTCAGTAGCCTTTTCTGGTCTATCACCGTGCAAAAGCTGAAGATCCATTCCTCTCCTAACCATATTTTTCAACGAGCCCTTTGACTTTAATTCCATGCAAGCCGGAATACCTACAATTAACAATGACCTTCGCCAGTTTCAATCTCCACCAAGCTCCAATTATTATTATTGTTGTTTAGTTTTGCACGGCCACAAGATTGCAACTCCGATTTAACATGGCTTTTCCTCTAGATCTGCCAGCCGGCTGGAAAAACTCCTGCCACGAGACCAAACTTTTCTTTCCCTGATAAAACAAAACCTTTCAGCAAACACCCAAGATCTGCCTTTCCTACCATAGACAATGGACACCGTCGCCCTTTTCCTTCCAAACTCTCGACACGTGAAAAAAGAGGAACCGTAAAAGGAATTTTTAAAAGGAATTTCTTCCTGACAAAACTCTATGCGGTGGTTCTAAGGCACAGAGGTTAGCCCTTCACACCCAGCGCAACGCACCGTACAAAATCTAGGTGCGTCACAGCTGTAGCAGCCTCTACTGAAAAGTGTCTCTGCACAATGATTATATTGTTTGGAAAATAAGTGATCAGTACACGGGGGAAAAGAAACTGTGTCTTAACAGGAACATGATGATCAGTGTCATTTCAGAGAGCAAGACAGGGCTCTGTAAAATTCATACATGGGCCCAATTCTCCTTTTCTTGGGGAATTCAGATATTCTCACTGCTGATGTGCAAAATCTGGAATGGAGCGTGTGTGATCCTTGAGACGTTAAGTACCTGAGAACTCCTGGAACCTGACCAGTTGTCTATAAATGTATTTTGCTGCATCAGCTACGCAACGTTGGCCAACAAGAAACTTCCTTAAAAACTAAAGCCGCTCTCCTAACATTGGAGAAACACCCAATGATGTTGCAAATCTGCAATGCTGGAAGAATAAAAGACACATCAAAGAAAAGACTCCGAGAGGCACACTTTTCCTCAATTAAAAAAAAAAGAAAAATGGAAGAGGTGGGAAGTCACAACCAAGAAATGCTATAAAATGGGTGCCTTAAGCCCTGTTTTTTTTTTTTTTTTTTTAAAGTAACGTGATTGTGTGACACCCTGAAAGACAAATGCAATTGGCATCGAGACTCATCTTTGCAACTTTTAACTGCCAGGACTCCGAGAGTTTCACAAGTCATCCCGTGCCCCCAAACGGCAGATGGATTGACTCATCAGCTCAAGCGCACTCGACTGGTTGAGACGCATCCGAAAACGGTTCTTGAAGTTTATGATTCCCTCGGAGGAGGGCAGATCGTGCAAGTGGGGTTTTTTTTCCATCATTAGACGTCTTTTGGGGCACCCCAGCGCCTCCGAGGGCTTGCCCTGCAAGCAGCAACTTTGTGCAGAAAGGGACAAGGCTCTCTGGAGTGAATCCATTTGCAGAGCCATTTAACAAGCTGGGGTATCGGAGCTCAGTTCGCGTCGGAGAGAAACAGAGCGAGGGGTACGGTGTACAGAATCACATGGGTACAAAATGCCAAGCGATACTTGCGTACCTCTGCTGTCTTTTTAAGGAATAAAAATGCTTTCCTCTTGGTCTTATTTGTTCCGTTTTGTTTTATAACTGCTCACATCTTCAGGGGGTGGAATTAAGTCACAGAGCAGGTTAAGTCTGGCTGGTTTGGATTGACCGGTCTCGGCAATGATCATCTCTCAAAATTTTGAATTCAGAAGGATCGTTCTAGCCCCCAAGAGAAGGAATCCTGCCCTCTAAGTGGCATTCTACAGATGACCTACAAGTGTAGATTGGCTTGATTAACGACCAAAGGAGTATAACCCAATTTTTTTGTTTAAGCTTTCGACCTAAGCTTATGGCTTAAAAACAGATCCTTTTGCTCCAAAAGTTATTCTGGAATTGCTTAGGAAAAGTAACTCCGAAGAGCAGGGATATGATGCGATAGGCCAGGGTATATAGTTAAGTAAACATGGTAAATTAGCTTGGGTCAGCATGAAGGGGACATGAATTAAGAGTCTCCGAAGAAGTGACAGAACGAAACAAGCAGGAGGAAAGAAAAAGAGAAGAAGCTGGAATTGGATGCATCAAGGCCTCTGCGTTCTTCCAGAAAGATAAATGAAAGGACATTCCACATCAGCTGAAAGTCAAACCGGCAAGAGAATCGAATCTGATAATGGATACAGCGTTCTCACAACTTCACACTCTGGTGTTTCTCACACCCCTCATTATCACTCCCTTCAAATACCTTTCAGTGCGAAGCAGCCCCTTTTTTTAATTTCTTTGCAAACATGATTGTGGCAGCACCGATTTCAGAGAAGTGTTGGATGACAGAGACAAAAAAATAAATAAATAAACCCCACCAACCTATTTAAGAAACAGGCCTCATGTATAACTCAGCCCAGAGATACTGTTAAGATGCTCCGGTGATTTAGGAAATGCTTTCAACCTGTTTTTCTGAACATGTGAATTGTTTTCACACAGGGTCGTGTATCTAATTTTCGGTTTTAAAAAAAACCAATCCTTTTACTTTGATTTTTTTTTTTTAAGAAAAGCGTATTTTCTGAAAAGCATACAAAAGTTTTGTAAGAAGAAGAAAAAAGGAAGGAAGGAAGGAAGGAAGGAAGGAAGGAAGGAAGGAAGGAAGAAGGAAGGAAGGAAGGAAGGAAGGAAGGAAGGAAGAAGGAAGGAAGGAAGGAAGGAAGGAAGGGGGAAGAGACATTTTTTTGCTCCAATCTGAAATAGACACGAGGTTTCCAGGTATAGGATAACTTTGGTTTAGGATTAAGGAATGGGGCATATAAAGCTGGAGGAACTAATCGGCTAAGATAAGAGACAAGCATTAGGTCATGCTTGGACCCGTGAGTATTTCTGGGTTCACGTGTTTCCCCGAGACACAGATACATTAAAAGCCAAGATTTTCTAGAACCCTGTTAGGAAAATATATGAGAGATACACCACCCTCATCGCAAGCCAGAAGTTGTAAACGGATGAAGGGTGAAGAGAAGCAGAAGGGCAGTATTTGCTCCAGTGGCACGGATTGAATATTCCTGATTTACCCTCAAGAGCAGGGATTTAAATCCCCATTTGCTGGTTTTTGACATCCTGAGGTTTTCACGGGTACAAATAACTGCTTTTTTCCCTTCGCTGCCCACTGAAAATTGGCAGCCTGCTGCTCGAATGGATCGGATTATATTAATGGGGAAACAAACTCCCACCCACCCACCACAACTGCGGCTAACACAAAAATTTGCTAACTCAGAACCACCATCTCGCTAGTCCCTAAACGGGGTTTGTTCCCTCAACGATGAGTCATTTTTTTTATTGCCATTTCGGTGCCGAGTCTGTTCGCAGAACATATATATGTATATATTCGAAAGCTACCGTCCGGGGTTTAGAATGAGGTTTTCCTTTCTGGAATTGCTTTTTTTTTTTCCCCCCCCCCCCAAATTAAGGAATAAAAAAAAAAAAACTTAAGATTTCCTGGGATTTGTGGCCTTTGTGCCACGATGGCTGGAATCTCCTCGGAAGAACAAGGCAAGTCTACAAATGGAAGCATTTTCACCAATTCTACACTGGTTTGACGTCTTTGTCGGGAGGTCTGGACGAAGACGCCGATTCTCTCTTTAAATTAAAAAATAATTTTTTTTAAAAAAGGATCAAAACCGGTGGTCTTTGCAGGATCCGTCGACGGTTTCCTTTGTGCGCGGAGCCCCCGTTGATTTCTCCCCCACCGACGACTTCGCTTGGGTTTCCAGCTTTTAAGGATCTCGTAAAGGTCAGCACCAGTGTACAAGAAGAGTCAAGACGTGATGGCGTTTTCATTCCATGATAAAACCGGGGTTGGAAGGAAGGCGAGGCGGGGGCCTCTGAGGCGGTGTGGAGGGGTACAGAGCTAGAAACGGGTTCGGGTAACCCGGCGACGGCCCTTGGCCTGGCGGTGGCGGAGCCCCCGTCCTCGGGGGGAGAGGAGGATATAGATACGGATTGTGGCCCACGGGAGCCATAAAGGGCGTTGGGAAATGTCCTGCTGGGACCACGGACACCGGAGGGGGAGGGGGAGGGTTACGGCGAGGCATAACCGAAGGAGGCGTGTTGGCCTCTGAAGTCTGAAGCACCGGCGGAGGGGGGACCGGGGGCCGTCGGGGTCCTTTCAGGACCACCTCTTGGAGTTTTTCTATTTTGACCCGCCGCAGGTGAGCTAATTTCCTCTGACTCTGATATTCGTCAATGAAGGTGTCCAGAGGGATGTCGCCATCTAGAAACTTCTCGGCCATGTTCTGTTGGAAAGAGGGAATGAATCGTGAGGGAGGGAGGGAGGGACACAGTCTGGAAAGGCAGAGCCTGTTTCTCACGGCATCTTTTGTCTCTCTCTCTCTCTCACTGCTAGAACCACTTACGAATCTTAAAAGAGTACAGGTGGTCCTTGAATTACGAGCACAACGGAGCCCGGAATTTGCTGCTGCTAAGTGAGAAGTTGGTTAAGCCCCATCTTACAACTTTCCTTGCCACATTGGTTAAGTGAATCACTGCAGTGGTTAAATTAGTAACTCCGTTGTTAAGTGAACCTGGATCCCCCATTGACTTGGCTTGTCTGAAGGTCGCAAAAGGGGATTGCGTGACACACACACACACACCCCGGGGAACACTGCGATCGTCATCAATATAAGCCGATTGCCAAGCATCTGAATTTTTGGATCACATGACCATGGGGATGCCACATGGGTCATAAGGATGAAAAATGATCATAAGTTACTTTTTTCAGTGCCGCTGTAACTTCAGTCACTAAACGTACTGTTGTAAGGGGAGGATTGCCTGTATCACATGAGCTCCAAATCACATATCTGTCAGCTCCTCTGTCTGATATCCTTTTGACAATTTATTTATTTATTATTTATTTATTTAATGAGATTTATATGCCGCCCTATCTCCAGCTGGACTCAGGGTGGCTCACAACAGTAAAAAAACATCTAATGAAAAAGTTAAAAAGAAATTAAATCCAAATCTCATAATTTAAGAGTTAAAAGTGCAATTAAGACTAACAAGTTAAAAATTAAAAATTTTCTACTTTCTTCTTTGTTCAGCTTTTTCTTTAAAGCCGCAACCTTAGCGGTATTCTTGGGTAGGATGTCATGCACGGGGGGAAAATCAGGAAGTCCAGGCTGTTCAAATGAATATAAAGGTTTATTGCAAAGTTTAAAGAAGAATTTGAAGGACTAACGGTCAAAGCAAGTAAGCGCTCAAGAATCAAAAGAATTCAAGGTGGGATGGACTTAAATCTCTTGTGAGCACGAAGGGACTCGAGACTGATGACGTGTTTGATCCCTCCCTCCCTCCCTCCCTCCCTCGGGCTCGGCCTGACCATTCTCCTAGTGGGTTGGTGAGGATCCACACACGAGAGGAAAGACATAATTCAATTAGATTAAGATGGGTGGCTACAGAAATTGAAGGAATAAATGAATACATTCAAGCTCTCCTGGGGTCATAGGTATAAAGCAGGTAAATCAGTATTACATTTGCTAGGCCAGGGGTCCCCAACCCGCAGTCCGTAGACCGGCAGAAACTGGGCCGTGCAAACAAGCGAAGCTCCATCCGCGGGATGCAGGCGGCATGTGAAATGACGCCCCCTGCAGTCCGTGGACAAACCTCTTTCCACAGAACCGGTTCCTGATGGCCAAAAGGTTGGAGGCCGCTGTTCTAGGCCAAATATTATCCCAGCAAACCCCAATAGCAGATGTTCCCTATTTACCTCGGTGTCTTCTTCAATTTTGGCCCCTTCTGTCTGAAGAAGTGCGAGGAGGGTCTCCAGCGAAGCATTATTGGATTGTCTGTCTGCAAACCAAGAAGAGGGGGTGGGGGTGGGACATTGGGGACAGCCATGAATTAAAGCAGAGTTTATAAATATACGGTTACCACAATTTAAAAATAAAAACCCACAGATGAGAAGCCATGAATGTGAGCGCAATGCATTTCGGTTCAGAATTTGCAACTGATTATGTGCTGGCACAGTTTTCATTCCTGACAAAACTGAAAACCAGTTTTTGTGCAGTGGTTAAAGTCTCGGTTAGAAACTGGGAGATTGGGATTTTAGTCGTCCTATCAAGGCATATATTTTGTTTCATATTGCTTTTTGGAACCTGTTTAAACAGTAAATGCACATAGGATGGGTGACAGGATGGACCAATAACAAGCGAACACGCATATCAAATGCATGTTTATGGGAAAAGATGCCTTCACTCTTGAGTTGAGAATCTGGAAGCACAATGTTTTAGCTCTGTTTCAATACACTGCAGGAGTTTGCAACCATGGCTAATTTTGTTCGGATTCTATGATTATGTAATGCTGAACATGAATTCTTGGATGACTATTCTAGGATTGTAAACCAGATTGGAGACAGGCAAAATGAACACTTTGTTCTGTACATTTTTAAAGGAAACTACATGTAATAACAAGGAATTTAGCCTGGGGATGCCTTCACTACATAGAGGGGTAGGAAGTCAGCCTCAAAGTTGGGATGTCTTGATTCAAATATTAACCCAACCACAAACTCCCTTAATGGACTTTGGGGTGTGCCTCACTCTTTTCCCATCAAAGTCCACTCCCTGATTTGCAAATATTTTGTACACAGCCCCATCTGCAAGGGGCTAGGCGGTATACCAGAAGGCTGAGAGGAACAAAAACAGCAGAAACACACATATCCATACCTATATACCGAGATGAATGCTTGTGATCAATCGATTAGAGCCAAAGTAGGATAGGAACAAAGCAGAATTTAAACTCTTTTGCAAAATGCAGGGAGAAGCACGTTGGAAGCAAGGCCAAATCTACCTTAATGTCTGCGATGAGTACTGAAATAATACCGGCTGCTTGGAAACTTCTACCACCCTGCTCCCTGTTTTTACTACAAGACAATATACTCCACAGAGCGTTTGAGGGCTGGGCAAGGAAACATGGCAGGCTTCCAAATGGAGCGGCCATCTCCAGGGACTAGAACCACCAGCGTGCAGGATGTATCTGTTCTTATCAAGACCTCATTTCCCCAAACATTTATTCTCACAACCAGTAGCTTAAAAGTTTAAATTTTCTACAGGCAAACTACTGTGTTTCCCTGAAAATAAGACCCTGTCATATATTTTTTTGAACCCCGAAATAAGCGCTTGGTCTTATTTTTGAGGAGATCTTATTATTTTGGAGCGCATGGAGCAAGATGGGGCTCCTCTTGCCGTCTTACCTGATTTCCAGCTCTGTGTTTAAATATTTTCGGGGAGGGCTTATTTTAGTTTGAAATTAAAATATGTTTTATATTTTGATGCCAGAGCCAGCCACGGCACCAAGAATGATTTTAATGGAGACAAAGGTTCCTCTTTAGATAGAAAGAGTAGATAAAAGTTTAAATATCTCCAGATTAATGAACCGCTGCTCAACTCATTAACTGTGTACACATCCTTAAATGACTGAATCAACCCCATACTTCGCTACCTGTTTATATTATCTAATGATTTGGAGCCCATCTCGGCTACTCCAAGCTGCTTATGGAAAGGAAAAGGGGACTGAGGTCATTCCTTCTGAATATTACCTAGCTTGGTTTTCTTTATCTGATACGCTTCGAAGAGAACCTGCAGCTCTTGATACTTTTGGGTTAATGTGGCTTTCAGGGCATCTAATTTTGGCTGGTATAAGAGATTTCCTTCTGCTAGACTGTGGTTGCTGGCGAGAGTCATATCTTTGCTAAGCTGAACATTTTGGGCCTGCAAGAGAAAAAAAAAAGCAGACGGTTAGGCAGAAAAATTAATGACAGAGGTGGGATATTTCTAAATTTCTCTCTGGTGAGCAAGCACAGCAGTGAACCACTTTTTCTGGTACTCATATTAATTAGCGGGAGGAAAAGGGGGAACGTGATCCGGATTGCCTGCCTGGCTCAAAGAAACCAGCAGACGGGAAAACACAGCCAGAATGTAAATCAAGCTGTCACTCCCCCTCCCCTCCCCCACATCCCTCCCCCTGATTTATACATTTAATTTATGGAGGAGAAGAGAAAGCGAAGAGAGGAGGCTTTGGGGGGGAAGCCGAACAAGCTGGCTTGGCACCGTCTCGTGTGAGACCTCATAATGAGACCCCGTAGATCAAAAGGGAAATTGTGTGATGTGAAACTGTCAATTCAGCAGGAGCGAACAGCGGGACACTGTTCCCCTCTGGTTTCCTTGATTATACGGATCTGATATAAAGGCCCCTTTATTGAGAAGATAGCATGCACAGAACGCCGGAGATGGAAGAGGCTTTTCCAAACCATGATGTGCACTCTCGCAACAGAACTTTAAAAAAAAAAAAAAGAGTTTACGATCTAAGACGAATGGTGGGAACGAGAGGGGAAGGCAGGGAAATAAGAACCTGTTCCTTTATAAAGGCGATATAACGACTGGGGGGGGGTGTTGGGGAGGAGAGAACAGCTGCTGCCCCGCGTTTTCCCCATGTATTTGGCATCTTCCCCCACCTCCTCCAGACCCGAGAAACAGAACACCGAGTACCGCAATGAATCACTTTCTTCCTTTTTATACCAAACGCCAGCCCCAGCCCCCAAGATATTAGAAGCCACATAACGATGAGTCATGTGAGACCGTTTAGAGCTGTCAAAAAATAGGCGAAAGAGCTACTTGAAAAGATGTTGGCCATTAGGTGGAAACTCTTAGTCGGTCAATTGTGGGAAAGAGGGCAGTGGGCCAATCCTGGACCGATTTAGGCAGCCTCTTTTTTGTTAATCCTGGGAATGAACTAGTTTTAACTCTTAACTCCCAACAGGATTGCTACCCCATCTTTAATAAATTGCTCGGCTAAAATTTTAGAAGAACAAAGGCATGGGTAAACCTATTCTCTATATTCAATTATCAATTCTTTTCTGAGGACTCATTGTGTGTGTGTGTGTGTGTGTGTGTGTGTGTGTATATAATGCCATTAATATTTAGCTCATATTAGACACAATCGCACTCACAGGTACATCTATTATAATGTGTTTTTTTTTTTTAAACTGTCTAATGTGCACTGATATTAGCACTTAGCTTTGAGAAACCAAGGTGGGAATTCTGGGAGTTGAAGTCCACAAGTTTTTAAAGTTGCCAAGGCTGGGCACCCCTGCTCTACATTTTAGCTTATTGTAATGCATTAACCCCTTCACTGTTTCTTATATTTTCGCAAACTAATAATAACTATTACTGTGTAGTGTATGTGTCATACACAAAGAGGTAGTCCGATCTCTGATCTGGATTTTCAGAGATCTGCATTACCACAGTGGATATTTTCCATAAGAACTCGTGCCGCTGTATTCTAAAGAAAAGACCCCTTTTGTTTAGCCAAATCCGTGTTCTTTCCCAATCACTTGTTGGTTCCTCCCCCTCCTCTCTTTGAGAACCCTTCTCCCCCCACTTTGTGCATTTAAACATTATCAGGCCATGATGATCGAGTAAGCTATTTGTAAAAAAAAAAAAAGAAACCGCAAGTTTTTCTTAATTGAGTGACCGCTAGAACAGAAAACCAGCATGTAGTTACTGGCACAGTTAATTAGTAGTCTTAAAACCTAATTTCATGTTGGCAGAAGAGGACATGACCACATTCACTGAGAGGCTGGAAAAAAGGATAAGGGAGCCAAGAAATCTCTCTATCTATTAGATTCTTTGTTTACTCTTCTAGGAACTTCGTGGGAATACAAGGGATTGTCTATGAAATCCTATCAACCGGCCTAGTCCTGAACCTTTTAAACCTCTCCTATCTTGATTTCATGTAATACTGACCAGGTTATGCTTTTGAGAGCCTTATATTGCAAATGCTAACAATTTATACTGTCATATTATACCACGGCAACGCACCCAAATGCATTTCTAAGATCTTTGGTTGAGAAAGATTTCTTTTGGCAGATCATTTTACTTGATTTAAATGGCAAAAAAACAAACCCTCCTAAGTATTGGGGAAAGGAAAACCCCCACCAACAAAAAAAGTTTATCAGGTGCAAACCCCACCCATCCAAAAAAAAGCAATAACATTTCAGGGACAGAGAGCAAAAGCGTGTTAAAAGTGAGTTTTCACGGCAAGAGATTTTCCTCACTTTCCTCGAGTGGAGGAAAATTACTTTCTAGGGGTAAGCAAATCCTCTCCTTTGTAATCCTAGAGTCTTAAAAATGTTGAAAGCAAGTGATTGAAAGCATGAAAAATTAACGCAGGGGAGCCCAATGATTAATTTATTCCAGACTCTCGTCTCTAATTACAGGCCAATTACTTAAGAAAGTAGTAACTCTGCCAATTGAAGAGAAGGGGAAAAAATGACAGTAAGAGTTTACTGAACCCAAAGCCTTCCTCCGACTAACTCCAGCCCTGCCCAAATGGCTTTACATATGCATTACGTTAAACAAACACCACTGGTCCAATTGCAGTCAAGATCTGAGCTGCACAATGGGAAATACAGATATAAAATGCTCAAGGTTATTAGTTCTGCCTCTTTAACCCCTGGGTCTCCCACACAGCGACTATTAACATTGAAAATGTAACTCTGGACGCCAGCTGGCACAGCAAAATAACTTAAAAGTACACCCCAGTCAAGAAGAGTTGATTTCCCACTTAGTTACATATACTTTTCTATATATCCTCAGGTTATTTAAAAAGGCAGGATAAGTGTTAGAGCTTAAAGCTTATTTGCAGCATAACACGAAGCGTGTCAATACTGCACCTGATGGCTCTCCTTGAAAGGAAACCTGGTCAGAAGGTCACTGATACAATAAAACTGACATTTCATATAGGCTGTTGTTTTTTTTTTTAAAGTTATCAGCGTGCCAGATGTCCCTCTACACATAAGTATATCACCCACAAAACACAGGATTCGTTTTATCAAATCAGGACATCTGGCTGTAAAAGGAGCGAAGGAGGCTAGGCTGCCCGTTATTAAAAGCTTCATTTTTTGCTTGAATTACAAACCACAAACGGATATTAGTTTCATTCTGTTGCAGTGTTTCCTCGCAGCCTTGAATACAAGGAAAGCATTATCAGAAAGTATTTCACAACCTTAAGCCACTGCACGGGAGTCTTTCTAGAGTTTTGCAAAATGCCTTTTCAGACTTGAAGCTCAGCTGTTCCTAGCAGCTTTTTAGATTTTATACTAGCTGGTTACCAAGGAGTGACTAAAGACACCCCCCCACACACACCCTTCACTGTATGAAGTCCAGACAACAAAAGGCCATAGAGCTAAAGCAGGAAAGATTTGTAAAGACACAGAAGTCCTTTCTTCGACTGGTAGCTAGACAGAGTTCCCAGATGCAAAATTATTCACGGATTAAAGCAGCCCAAATCTCACATCGCTAAAAGAAAAGTGCAACAATAACACGGATAAGGTGCGAAGTCGCACGTTTGCAAGTGTGGGAATGACTAATTAGCAAGGCATACGTTTGCTAAATTCAGAAACTGCTTTTCCTCTGTAACACATTGGAGGAGGAACTACTCAGGCCTTTCTCTTCGTGCTTCAGTTGTTCCTTGCTCAAGGAAGGGAGCGGAATAGCGTTCAAGAATTATCCTGGAATGCAGCTTAGCCCCCGCAGGCAATATGGAGCAAAAGTTCTGATCGGAGAGAAAACCTTGGAAGCCAGGTTCAAATTATGCAAAAGGGGCATGGAATACTCCACAGTTTTACCCTCTGTACCATTAGGTACAGTTTTACACCCTGAGTACGATCAGGATTAGTCATTGTTAGGCAGCCTGATGGGGAGATCAGAAGCTGGGATCTGATTTCACTGAAAGTGTTCCGGAGTCATCAGAGGGGATATGAAGTACATTTATCATGGAAACAATATGAAACTAATGATGAATTCAAGCTATTCCCTTGGGATTTGAGCCACCAGATGGCTGTCCTGTCCAAGGATGCCTTTTAACGCCTAAAAGCACCGCGTAAAGGAGATCCCTGTCTTCTTCTCAGAAATGACTCATGTCTACAGGGCAAGAAATTATACCCTAAATGCAGAAACAAAAGCAACTCAATAAGTCATGCCAATTAAACTGTTGGGGACCTAAAAGTCAGGCCTTATCTTTTGGTTTAATAAAGTCATTTTATTCCTACGTGATTAGAAAGCCAAGGTGGGAGGCTGCCAGCCTTCCTCGCCTCTCTCAACCTCGGCTTCACCTATTCCCACAATACCGCTTTATTCCCACGATAACCACAAGGTTGTAAACCGACACACCTAAAAACCCACACTCCAATTAGGGGTCATGTCCATCCCACCTTCCTCACCCGCATTTCAAAGCAAGCTGCACCCTAACCGACAAGCAAACCATGGTTTATTTCCCATCGATCGCATTTCTCTAACCGTCACACAGCCACGGATTTCTTTCCGTACAAATCGCAACAAAAGTTATTATGGCCAAAGACAAGACAACCTGTTGATTTACATCCACTTTGTGTTTTCTTGCGTCTTGGCTCCGGCTCCCTCTGCAGCTCCACCCACCCACCCCAAGGGCACAACTCACGTGTCCCCCCCCCCAAGAACGTCAAACACCTTGGCTTTTTGAGCACAACACTTCCTTATAGAAAGGGGAAACAGCTTAATGCTGGCGCAAAGCAAGAAGGCAAGCCCTCCCAAAGCAAGACGGGCTATTATTAGGCAGAATAGCAATGACAAAATAAGCAAGTGAAACTTTTGTGTGCCTCCAAGAACTCTTCTTTGAACGAACCCAAGGCAGAAATACAGCTGCGGGACCCCAAACCAAGTTTTGGCTTGTTAATGCAGGGTTAAAAATTCTCCCCCCCACCCCACAAATTAGGAATCTGGAGTCACCTTTTCCAAAGCCAAAAGCCTGAAAAAGGGACCCTTATCCAAGGGCTCCAGATCCGAAGCTCAGTTGAGACCCCTGTTTTGCTAGGAAGCCTTGGAGAATGGGCTACAGGGAAACCTCAGCATCCTCTTCCCCTCCCACCCCCCATAATTCCCAGTAGGAGACTGAAACAGCTGTTAAAGTCTGTTGAAAAGGGTCTTCCTCCCCCCCCCCCCAGAAAGGCAGCAATGGCCTGGATGCCCAAGAACTCTCCAGCTGTTGTTCAAAAGTCCCATTTTGGGCCAGATGCAAAAAGAAAAAAGAAAAAAAGAGCCAGCCAAGGTCTGGGAGACCCCATGGATGCCAATGGGCTGACTGGTTTCAGACCCATAGTCATAGCCCCCCCCCAAAAAAAGACACTGAAACATCATTTCCTAGGAAACCAAGTCGCCCCTCTTCAACCTCCTCCTTCCTTCAGAGCCTTCCCCAACTCCTAAATTGAGACCCACCTCCAATTCTCCCCTTTGGGGCCTCCCATTGCCCCAAATCCTCCTCTTTGGAGGGGCCCACCCCTATTTCTCCCCTTTGGGGGCCCCCAACCCCCAATTCTCCCCTTTGGGGGCTCCTTCTCCACTTTGGGGCCTCCCATTGCCCCAAATCCTCCCCTTTGGGATCCCCCCCACCCCCAATTCTCCCCTTTGGGGGCCCCCACCCCCAATTCTCCCCTTTGGGGTCTCCCACCCCCAATTCTCCCCTTTGGGGCCTCCCATTGCCCCAAATCTTCCCTCTTGGGGTCCCCCTTTTCTCAATTCTCCCCCCTTAGGACCTCCCCTCCCTCCCTCCCTTGCTTCCCTTGGGGGTCCCCGCCCGCCCTACCTCCTCCATCTCCAGGGCCATGTTCTGGAGCTGCTCCTCATCTTCCAGGAGCTCGTGGAGCTGGTGAAGGCTCAGGGCCTCCAACCGCCTGGCGTCCACCGCCATGTCGGGCGAGGAACCGAGGAGGAGGAAGAAGAGGAGGAGGAGGAGGACGAGAAAAAAGCGTCCGCTCCGCTCGCCGCCCTCCGCAGCTCTGCGCTGGCAGCGGCGCAGCGGCTGTTCCCGCCCCTCCCGCCGCTCGACCGGAAGTGCTGCTGCCGCTCTTCCCGGCCCCCTCCCTCCGCCCTCCCGCCACCAGGTAGGAAAGGGAGCGAGGGAGGGAGGGAGGGCGTAGACGTCATCGCGCCTCTCACGCTCCCCCCCTCCCCTCCCCGAAAAGTCAAAAGTGGCGGGAAACGCGCTGAGGGCTAGCTGAGGAGAAGCGCTTTTCCTGCGGTTTTAAACTTAATCACGATTAAAATAAACTTTATATATATATATATATATTGATATTATATATTGTTTATTTAAGCTTGTTTGCCTGGCTGTAGTGATTGTCCCCTGGTTTATTAGCCAGTCTCTCTCTCTCTCTCTCCCTTGGCTGATGGCTGTAGTGCAGCCCACCCACTCCCCTCAAGGGGAGGATACAAATAAATAAAAATAATAAATAAAATTATGTAAATAAATAAATAAATTAGTTATTCACAGCACTATTGTTTAATATAAGGAAGTCCTTATTTTATCCTCAGCCGCCCAGAGTCACAGATGCCAAGAAGGACCATGTTTTCTTGGGGAAAAATTTAAGTTTATTTGCTGTCTATCTGACCATGGGGCTATTCTAGGCGGCTAAATAATGATTGTATAATTGAAGTAAAAAAAAAATAAAGGACCCATTTGAAAAAGGGGCCAAAATTGAAAAAAATATGCACAACATCTTTGACCTTGGACAATGAATTTTTGGAAAAACTAACTGGAAGAAAAATCTAATGCATTTTTTTTCTTTTTTCCTCTGCCAATAACAACAACAAAAATAAAAAACCCATAGGAAAATGGATAGTTTGCAATCAGAAAACTAATTTAATCCCAGCGCCAACGATGGGAAAAGCGGCAGCTGGGATGGGGCTGATAATTCCTGCTATAATAGAAGATGAATTTGCATTAGCAATTTCCCTGCATCAATCTTTCCGCCTTGAATTCATTTTCACTCTCTTCCTATTGTCTGCTTGAATCACTGACAGGCTTGCATGAAATCTTTCTGGCTGATGCTTCTTTTAAAAATATAACAAAAAACATGCAGTTTATTTTTTTTTTAAATTGCACACGTGCATAGAACAGAAGTTTTGCCTGGATGACCAGGGCAGCATTTAGCATTGTGCATGCAACGTTTTTGCAGAAATGTTAGCAACGTTAAAATGAGGCTTTTCCAAATTCCTCGGAAATGACATCAACCTTATAATACAATGCAATTTCATGATTTATATTTGGAAGTTGCAGAACTGATTTGAGAACTGAATCATTTTTTTTTAATGAGTAGTTAAACTGCTGCACTGATATGCTCCCAAACATTAAATGTGTTGGCTAAATATTCAGCTTTTTCAGTATTTTGCCAATGGGAGTTCCATTTAAAAAATCTGGACTGCATATGCTTGTTTATTTATCAGCTTTATTTCTCTTTTTTTACCCCATGACTTAATGATTGGATAGTTAATATTTTAATGGTGTAACTTGAGATGAATGTTTAAGCTCATGTGTAGTACATAAGTTATATGCTTTTGAAGTTACTTTTGATACAAATACTTAAAATGTATTTCTGAACTTGCATAACTGAATCCGTGAGGTAATTGTTAAAGCAAGTCTTTTGGATCTTGAAGAAATAGCCCCTATGTATTTTGCTAACTAATGGGCTTTTAAGATAAGGCAATAGACAAGAAAGATACTACCTAGGATGCATCTGGTGGACAATCACCCATGAAAACCAATACAATAATCAGAATGCTTGAAAACATTGATTTTTGTTGCTACAATCTGTAAGTCTCCTTACATTGGAGCATTCATCTGCATTCTCATAGGGGAGAATGTATTTTTTTAACCTTAAGAGAGACCTGGATCTTTAAGTACAGATGTGGTCTTTGCTCTTCCCAAGCTAAAATTTCTAAAACAACTTCAAGGGCAAAGTTTAAATGGTAACCCGGCATTGCACAACTCAAGGTGTGCCTTCTCCGTTGCTGGGGAAGCTTTGATAAGCTGAATATGTCAACAATGCGGACATGTCAACAATAGCCCAGCTGATCTGTTGTTTTTTTTCCAGACCGGATTTCCTGGTTTGAGATTTGGCATTTTTCTGGTCAAAGAAAAATCCATTCCTTTCCCTCTTCTTAAGGTTTTATAATTAGTGAAATCTAAATATAGGAGGAAAACAACCCAAGAGTTAGCATTGTTGTCGAACAATTTGGTAACAATTCGACATTTCTTCCAGCTTCCTTAGTAAGGGAGGAAGATTTGAGCTTGCAATTTTTCTTCTGCAAGAAAAAAATTCTTCTCCCTTGGAGCAATTTCTCTCTACCCTGAGGACAAAAGATTATTTTAGTAGAATTTGTTCTTAGGATGAGCATAAAACATCATCTTGCAACTGAAGTTCAGAAACTGGCCACCTCTCCTTTTTAATAAAGTCACACATTTGCATTGAATGGAATGTGTTCAATTACCCTATCAGATTTGGAGCTGCCAAATTATTAATACAATTTAATTTCATTGTTCTCCCCGACTTCCTGCTTCCAATATGGAATCCTTCCCATGGTGTATATGAAATCCTCAAGCTGAGGTGTGTCGGTGCCTAGGTATATATATCTAGGATTCACTTTAAATCTGTTATGATTATTTAATTTTGTTAATTGCAAAGAGTTGGCACCCAGCCTCTTTGAATAATTCCTGCAATAGGAGGAGACGTTTGACCTGATTTAGTTATAATTGTGCTTTCAGGATGCACACCCACTTTGAGATGAATCTATGGCAATGGTCATCTGCTACTGGAAAGTTCATACAGAATTTAATTTGCAAGCCTACAAGTAATCTTTGACTCACAACTCTTCGTTTAGCAATTGTTCAAAGTTACAACGGCCCTGAAAAAAGTGATAATACAGCCGGTCCCTGATTTATGATCTTTCCAGCATCCCCACCATCAAAATTCAGAGGCTTGGCAAGTGACACATGAGCAAAAGCAATGGGAGGAAGCTGGATACACTTAATGACGGGAGATGCACTCACTTAGCAACTGTGGCAAAAAGATCTTAAAATCGGGCAGGACTCCTTTAACAACTGCCTTGCTTAGCAATGAAAATTCTGGTCCCAATTCTGGTCATAAATCGAGGATTACCTGTATTCTGAGGAAGCCTTCAACCTTCTCTTGAGACAGCTGATTAAACATCTCACAGCCGGTTCAAATTCTAATAAATCCTTGTATGTTTTACTCAGCAAACTTTATTGCCCAACTATGTCCCTGTTGGTGCAATTGTACATGAATCAAATCGTGAACAAAAGCTCTACATAAAGTACCAAATCTTTGAGTAAGGAAACCAATCCTTTGTCCTTCTCATCCATGGGACCTACCTAAGGTATCACTGCCCATAACTTGCATTATTATGGACCACTGGCCATGCTACCTTGGGTTACGGAAGCAATAGATTAATTTCACTTTGCAAAGCAAAGTTGGAAAGAACTTTATCAGGAAAAAAAATGTTTTTCTTTTCACCAGCAGAGCATAAACAAACATTACATTAAAGGGCTTAACTCTTTGTTGTTGTTACTCAACGAACATTTGCTATCTCTCTGAGGTGACTCTACTAATAAAAGGCTATTTGGGACAGATTCTTGAAGACACAGACACTAAAAGTACAATATCAGAGGTAGTCTTTCTTTTGTTGTTTAATTTAGTGAAGTACTTGTAAAATATTGCTAAAATATCATATGCTTTTTTTAAAACATTGCTAACGACAAAAATCTGCCCATCGAAGTATCAGAAAGTAATTAAAATGTGATAAAGTGCATGAGTCATTTTACAACCGAGTGCAACTGGAAAAGCTACCTAGAGAGAACAAATTACCTTTTCAAAATTGCTAAGATTAAGGGTTGCGGGTAATTGTTCAATCTCAATTCACAGTTTTGTTTTTTTAAAGCACATATTTGGCTGAGAACGCTAATATTTATCCAGCTGTAAAAGTCATAGATCAAAATAGGTCAAATTACCCAGCTAGATTTGGAAAGGGTTTTTTCCCCTCTTTCCTTTGTTAGAGTGAACACAACAAACCCATCAAAATAATTCGGAGAACTGGTGCTTGATGATTAACTAATTAACTAAACAAAATAACTATAACCCTCAATATTTGCAACGTTTAGCAGAATCTATATCTGAACATAAAATTTGGCAGGAAATGTTCCCTGGCAGAATGGGGCATATTTTAAAACTGACGTGTCTGATTTTAGGCATTAAAACAAAAAAAAAACAAAAAAAAGAAGAAGGGAAACAAAAACCTTTGTTCTAGAGAAATAAATAGTTTGCAAACAGAGCTGACTTGCTAGTTGGGATATTCAGGTGCCCAACCCAGATTGTGTGCAACTGTGCAGACCAGCGATAAAAATGTAAATAATTCCAACTTCAATAAAACTGCCCATTTCCCCTAACCAAGGCTCTCTCTCTCCATCTTTATTGCCATCTAGGTATGCACTGCAGACCACAGAGGCAATCCTTCTTCTTCTTCTGTTGTTATGGCTGGAAGTTTTATTTCAATGCCATCGGGGATGCTGCTGCTACTACCTCTGAGAGCAATCTGGAAATAACCCCTAGCCAACTGAAACAGCGCTGGTTTTGTTAAGAAAACCTTCATGCATACGCAGCTTGTAGACAATCCCAGCATGTAAAGTACCACACTTCGACAGAGATACCCAGAGAACCATTGACCTGGACTACAACGTGTACATATCCAGATGTTCTAAATTCCAGATGAGCCAAGCTCCCTGTGGAAAGTGCATTAGATCTGGCGGTCCAGTTCGACTTTCACGGAAGCGCAAAGCACATCCGTAGGCACCAGAGTGATCCCAAAGTCAACCGGTTGGCTTCAATGCCAATCCCAAGTACGATATTTCCATCCTGGCCCATGGTGGTGATGCATTTTGGAGATCCATCGAAGATCCTTATTCTTC